TTATATTTTATTTTACATTATAATTTTATATTATATTATAATTTTATTTTTTATTTAAATTTACTTTACGATTTTATTTTATAATATAATTTTTTTTTATATTTTATTTTTTATTTAATTTTACTTTACAATTTTATTTTATAATATAATTTTATTTTATATTTAATTTTACATTATAATATTATTTTATATTACCATTATATTACCATTACAATTTTTTGTTTAATATTATTATAAAATTATTTCTATCTCAATGTAACTTTCATAAGTTAATTAATTATCCTTTGTTTTTTTTTTATAAATATTAATGTTGAATAAGAAGTTATGAAAGATAATATTTTTTTTTCTTTTTTGTTGTTGTTGTTGTTGTTGTTGTTGTTGTTGTTTCGTTCATCGTTCGATTCATTGTCTTTTACCCTACAACGTGAAAGATACAGACGACATTAATTACTGTAATGAGTCGATGCAACATATATATATATTTTTGTAAAGGCCTCCTTTCTCTGTCTACCTACCACCCACCCACCTGCCTCCTCTCCCCCACCCTTCGATGGACGGTTTTTAATTAAAGAGACGAAGCGAGAGAGTGCCATTAGTGGCAAGCATTCGACGAGTGCCACACACAACGATAAACTGTTCGTCGAGAAAAAACGTTTAAGTTCTTTTTAATGATTTATTTCCCTTTCTAATTTGACGACAACGATTACTATGCCATAGCATTATGGGACACTCTCTCTTTGCATAGAACAAGCTTTAAATTGCTCACCRAAAAAAAAAAATGAATGAGAGAGAGTGTGAGAGAGAGGAAGCTTCCAAAACGAGTCAATGAAAATGAAATGTAAAAAAAAAAAAAAAGACGGTGAGAGATTCCTTCAATTGGATTATTTCCCCCTCATCACCACCCTCGATTCTAACCATGTGATTTTATTTTGGCACGTTAGATGATTTTGACAACGATGGATAACCTAAATTCTTAATTTTATATTTAAACTTTGAGATTATTAACATCTTTTAAGGTATCTTTGAAATAATTCAATTATTTTTGTTTTTTTAATGTTATATAATTTTTAATAATTCTTTTAATATAAATTAAAACACGTGTTGTTATCTTTCCAGAAAATATTTCATTTGAACTATTAGAAAAATGTCAAGAAAATGATTTTATTAACTTATCCTTGAAATCCTTTAACAAGAACTTGTATAAACCATCAATAATTGCAACTACTACAACTAATAATTATATAATAATTCAAGATGAAAATGATCATAAAAAGAATTACCATTTAAACAAAATAAATCAACCGACATTAGGTGTACACGTTGAAAAGAAAATTTTTAACAAATTATTAAATTCAAAAAAAAAAAAAAATCAAATTAAAAAGACAATATATTTAACCATAAATTCCTGAAATAATAATGAATAGGAACTTTAGTGAAATGGCCGAAAGCAATAACGAGAATTTCAATAATTATTACTCGACAAATTATTGGCCATTGAACGGTGAATTTGCATCTATTAGTAAAATGAAACTCACAAAGGATTGTCGTCACCATTGCAGTTCACCATCTTGTTCTTTGAACATTTACAATAATAATAATAATTCTCATATTGACAAAAATTCAAATGTTTATAGAAACGATAACGAATGTTCATTTAAATCCAATAGTATTTCCTACGATAATTGTAGAAATTATAATAATAATAATAATAATAATAATAGTAATAGTAATACCAATCATACATCATTGATAGAAAAATATCCCGTTTGGATTAACAATGAAGATATTGATTCGTCTACGAACATGCTATTGGTGAAGGGTTGTTGTTGTTCGGAAAAAAATGATACTCGTTTTTCCCATGAGTGTACACCATCGAAATCGAGTCTATTCGTAGAAACTGGCGAAAGCATGGAAGAATTTTCTACAAGTTGGCACTCGAGCTCGAATAATCAAACGAATGTTTGCCCCTGTTCCAAGGGATCTTCTATGATCGAAGAACATTCGACGACGATGAACGAAGATGTTCAACGAGATGGTCCATTTGGGAAGGAAAAGGATGAGGAAGAAGAGAGGAAGAGAAGAAGGGGGGTGGAGGAGGTGGAGAAGATGGAGGAGGAGGAGGAGGAGCATGCAATGATCGACAAGTACGGAGCTCCTTGTAAAAGCAGAGATTTCAAGCACGAACGTTGCCGGTGCAGTCATTTCACTGGTAAAAAGCATTCTTCCATTGAGAACTCGACTTGGAGTCAACTCGAAATGGTAGAATCGAAAACTCGTCGACTGGATTACGGTAGGAGAGAGAATATTCGATTGAGAGACGTTGGTACGACGAGTTCTAACGTTCGTTCGGTTACTAAAAGACCACGGTGAGTCGGATTTTTATTTTCTTTTTTTAATCCCTAACTATTTTTTCTTATTTCTTTTATCAAATAATTATAGAAAAGTCTAAAGGGAAAGAAGGAAAAATGATTGAAGTCAAAATTCTCGCGTTAAACAAATTTTCTCGAATTTTTAATACTTAACTTGTTAATTGGGTGGCACGTATAAATACGTCTAACGTATTTTACGTATTTTATATATAAATAAATGAAAAAATTTATATTTTTCATTTATTTTAAGTATAATTAATTAGAACGATAATATACATAATAAATAGTAAATCATAAATATAAATATATAAAAATATTAACCTATTAATTGGGTGGGACGAATAAATACGTCATAACTATTTTTCGTACTTTATATATATATAAATAAAAAAAATATATATTTCATAGTTCTTTTTATTTATTTTAAGCAAAAATAATAAAAAAAATAAATATATAAAAAATAATAAATATATAATTAAATATGGTGTGCAAAATTAAAAAGAAAATTCCTCAATTAACAGGTTAATTCATATAATAAATATTTTATAATAAATAATATAAAATTTATTAAAATCCATTATGAATGAAAAGAAAGAGAAAAAAAATAATAAGAAAAGAGATTAAATAAAATGAATTTTTGTATAGGAAACATTATTTAATCGTTTATATAATCACACACCATAATGAAAAATCTATTTAAGATAACTATATCGTTGGAAAATGGAAAGAAAATGAATCTTTAACGTAATTATGCTTGTATAGTTTATCGGATCGAAAATCATTCGATTAAAAGGGTTTATAACCCTTTAATGAGTTAGTTGGGATGACATACACATTTTCACCTTTAATATAATCGATAATATTAACCCCCAACCCTTCAATCTCTATTTTAACGTGGATAGAAATTTTGCAGAATATTTAATATTTATTATATTAATATTTTTGTTTTGTTTTAAATTAACAAAAATATTAATTAATTATGAAATAATTTTTATACATTTTATATGTATTTATATATTAATTAATTATTTGATTTAATATGAATTATTTATTTAATTCATTTATTTCATTGATTTATATGTAATATAATTATATAAGATTAAAATAATATAATTTAATTTCTAATTAATCTAAGATTATTAATATAATTATTAATTAATTATAAAATAATTTTTTATATATATTTTTTTTTCTATTTTGATTCACTTTAATTTTGTTTTTTTTTTTGGATTTTCTACGTAAAGGTACTACGAATCAGAAATGGAAAATACGTCGGATAGACACGGATTACCAAAAAATTATGAAAATTCATTTTTGGGAGATTTCGAGATGGGAAAAGTTTGGTCCCGTGTACAAGATAGTTGCAAGAATTTTGTTAAATCTGCCATAACTAACATAGGCCAAGCGATAAAAGATATTTCCAAATCTAAAGATACACCTGAGGATAAAGAAAACGAAATTTTGGATTGGAATGGATGTTCAAAATTGTGTCAACAGAGAGAATGATGAAAATATTTTCAAAATAAATATGATACATAAAATATATTCAAAATAAATGCATATACCTATATATATATATATATATTTTTTTTTTATTCTAAAATATAACTAGATATAAAATGAGAATATGAATACGAAATGAAAAAAATAAAAGTATAAAAAACCGTAGTTTTATTACCCCATAGCTTGACAATTCAGCTTAAGGTAAAAATGTAACGTTAGTTCTTTTGATAGTAAATGTAGTAACATTGCAAAACGAAACAAAAAATATAAAACATGATATGAAGAAACTATAGAAATAGAAATCTAACCATAAATAAATCGAAAGAATATGGAAATCAAATTTTATTGCACACAAATATTTTATGCCTCATGTAATAGTAAAAAAAATTCACATCAAAGATGAGCGTCTATAAATTCGACATTTATTTTTTTTTTCAAAAAAACTACAATTCAACCACGAAAAGAAATAAATTTTTTTTATTATCATTGACATCGTGAATAAAAATATTTCGTTGATATTTTTTGATAAACAAAAGAACGATTACTTTACTATTATTATTATTATTATTGTATTTATTATTATTAATAATTCGATTAAAATTGTTAGAAATGAATGAAGTTACAGATACATAATCGATTATATCGATTAAATCGAATAAGAAAATGATCAATTAAACATGTTTTTTTTTTTTTTGTAATTTCCAATTTCGTCACCATTCTTTCGATCATTCAAAATTAAATTTTCAACATGTAGTTCGGCAAATCTAAATTAAATCAAATTTTTTTCGTATAAACTTGAATAACATTAAATAGACCAAAAAAAAAAAAGAGTAAAAAAAATCAAAAAAAAAAAAAAAATCATGGCAATTCCTTCAGAAAAAATGGATCCATTACGAGAGTAAGTAATTAGTGTTGTGGTTTTGTGTTATTTGTTATTTAATACGTAAGATTTATGTCGTTCTACGTAAACTCATAATATTTTGTTGTTTTGTTTTTGTTATTTTCCTTTCTTTTTTTCTTTCTCTCTTTTATATTTTTAATCCTCCGTTAGAAAGTTTAAACGAGTGAGGGAAAGAAGAATGGCAGAACTGTTGGAAAAATATCAGTAAGTTGAGATATTCTCTCGTTACTCCGTAATTATTATCTTTATGTGGCTTTATATTTCATTCTCTCTTTTTCTCTTTCTGTATTTTTTGCTCATTAACGGTTAATAACGCGTTAAAATATCACGAGTTAAATAGCTTTATCACCCCTCACCTCCCATTTTCTTGTATTTCCAAATGATTACAGGTATTTTCATATAAAAAAAAAAAAAAAACAAACAAATCCCAAATTTTATCACCTATTAACTTCATTATCATAATTACTTTAGGCAAACCGAAAAAGATGGTGGTACTGTCAAAAAGGAAGATGAAATACAGAAGTAAGCATTTAAAAAAAAAATACATAAAACACACGTAAATTCTATGAATAGTATGATTCTTCTTAAAACTGCGATTTGATATTTTTGTTTTTGGTTTGTAGGCCCAAAGAAGATATGAAAAATGACTCGGACAGGTATATATATATATATATACAATACATGAGCCGTTTATTTTTTAAAGTAGCCTAACTCCATTCATGTTCGAAGTGTTTGTGTTTCAATGCAATTCAAAATATACGTATAAGGTACAAGTTATACTGCTTAAGTGTATCTAAGGATGTTCAATTTATAGTTCCTATTAAAATAGTGCCAATTATTAAATGAATAATATGCATTTTCTAACCACGAATAGAATTAGGCCACTTTCTAAATTAACAATCAGATTTGTTAGAAAATTTCGAATGGATCCAAGTTCATTCAACATAATTTAAGATGCTTCAAATTGAAAAAAAAAAAACAATACTCAATTTATTGGACATATCTTTAAAACACTTCAGAAACATAATTTATGCGATTGAAAACATTTTTTAACTAAATAACGTACAAAATTACAAACATTAATTACAAAACAATTTACTACTCATCTACATTTTGTGTGTGTGAAAGGGATTTGAAGAAATCATGATGTTCTAGTGGTATATGTCGTAATAGGTCAATTATGTTCTTGAATTTTGCTATTGTAATTTGTCTGATATTTTTATACAGTGGTGTCAATATACGTGGTAATAAATTCGAAACTTTCAAATTTTCATTCTCATTCATTGATGTCTTATAGAAAATTTGATACGGTTCATTTCTGACAAAACGCATCCAACATATTTTTAACCAGTTTATTGATTCTTCATCAGAATTATTGACCCTTTTAAAAATTACGTCTTCTAATAATTTTGTTCATACAAAATCTTCTTGTCTCATTTTATTTACAATTGAGTATTATAATATTTACTTGGAGTATAAGCAACCTCAAATGCTTTATTGATACATAACATGAAATTGTACAATAACCACGTTGCAATTGGAAATTAATAATTGACAAATGGAATTAGGTTACTTTCAAAATAAACTTTTTGATCATTGCATTACCTTTCTTGTTACAAAATCTTCATGATTTTAAATATATTAGAAAGAAATTGCTGAATCAGACTGAAAAATGTAGCTAAGTTGATTTTTTTTGAAAATAGAAATTAGATCACTTTCAAAATAAACGGCTCATATATAGATTTGATCGAATAATAATAATAATTTATGATTGAAAATTCGTATGATATTCAATTGATGTATTTTCCATTGTCTGCAGGATAATCGGATCCAGCAAGGAAACGTTCGAAACGAGCTTGGTGCAACAAAAGTAAAGCACGTTATATAAAGTCCACATATTATAGCGATTGTTAGGATCCATTCTGATCATTATTCTAGGATTGACCCTGTTATAACGACGAGGGATGTTGCCATTTCTACGGAAGCCAAGTAGGATGATATTATTACAGTGATTCTTACGCCGGAATAATGTTTCTACTTTATTTTTATATACATTATACATTATGATACTTATATTTAATCTTTTAGCCAAGTATTATTATCTCCTACGACGTGTATGATGTATGGTAAGATTATTTGGTATAATAATGATATAGGGGTAGAAAAAAAAAAAGAATGAATTATGTATTAGTTAAAGACAAGGGTGTTCAAACATTGACCATGCCTATAATCAAAAAGAAACGTAAATGTACAAATTGTTGCGGAGGACTTCCAGGTTGTGGTCCAGGATTAGGACAAGGTTGCGATGGAAAATGTTCTTGCGTACCAGGTAAATAATTGTTGTTTATATTTTAAAAACAAGATTAATGTTCAATCAAATTCTATTTTATTTTAATAAGGAATTGAAATAACATCTAACGGATTGTACGACGAAGATGAGTTCAATCTAAGTGAGTTATTTGATGTTTTATTTATTTGAAATATAAAATACAATTATATTTGATCAAACAAAAATGAATATAATTGATTTATCAGGTAGAAAATTATTTCCACGATTTTACGTAACACGTAATCGTCTACGTGGTGGTGGTGGTGGTGGTAGAAACTTGAGAAAGAACGTAATGGCAAAAATTCGTAGTAGAAGAAAGAAGAATAGGGTTTTCCAGGTGGTAAGTTCACTTGGAAGACCTAAGGAAGATCTTCTATGTCGTGGGTTTGTTAGAAGCCTAAGTAGCCTTCGTGGTCAACGGATGGGGTGGTGGTTGGAGAAAGCTCAGGAAAGTTGTTGGGAAAGCTGTTGTCTCTTAGGCAAGAATTGCGTTGGACGCGTAAGCGTTTCTGCAGAGTGCGTTCCCTCGTCGTACAACAACTACGTCAGCTACGTAGTTCCTGGTGTCCCTGAACGTCATCGTCGTCGTCGTCGTCGTCGTCAGAACTTTCAACTTGAGCAAAACATAATGGCTGATGGGAGTACTAGTATTACTACTAACGTCTCTAGGAAGTTTCAACGTGAAACAACAACGTCCACCACGTTGCTTCTATCAAACACTTCGAAGTACCATGGAGAAAATAATAGGTATATTCTATTGTTTTATTTTTCGTTAAATGATAAATAAAATAATCGAAAAGAAACTAGGATATTCTACTAAACTAGTTGTTCGATACTCGTAACAAGAATCGATCTAGAATCATAATCGATAGAATCAGACGCGCGCATTTCGAATACCGCTAGTTACCGTACAATCATTTCGGATCGTACAGTAATTAACTTCGTAACTTTAATTCTTTAAATTTGTCTAAATCTCTTTTTACTAATTAAAATCCACTTTTAATTTTACTCCGAGATTAATTTGATTTCGTGACGAATGAAAGAAACACAACAAATATATTTTAACATTAGTGAGTACTGTGCGTGCGTATTTCGATCCGATTTTCTTGATTGACACATTGAAAAATGAAAATAATGACAAATTCGTTTAAACTTTGTACGAATAATCGACTATTGTTTGCAAAGAAAATCAAAAAGAAAGAAAGACCAAAAAATCTGATTTCTCTATGGAAAAATTATATAATCAACTCTAAGTAATAGGATTGAAATTTTAAATATCATTGTTATAAATATTTACAGAAAGAATCGACGTTTGAGAAAATTTGACATTCCTAAAAAAACTATTTCAAATATTTATTGTCCAATGAAAAATTGTTCTCATTTATTCTCGTATAATACGAAACGTGTTGAACGTACTAAAACTTACAAGGACTGTAATTTTTCAAAAGGAATATTACCATGTAAAAATTCATCATCTTATGAGACATTGAACATTGTGGAACGTCTTAGAGGTGGTGGAAGTAAATGCAATTTAACTGAACAACAAAATAAAATTCGTCATGAATTGGATCAATCATCAATAGATGATTTAAACGACACAGAAATAAAATCTTTAAATAATAATAATAATAATAATAATAACATTGATTCTTCGAATGCAATGTTTTATGAGAACATGAACGAAGATGAATATCCATGGTCCGACAATGTAATCAACGAAGACGTGCTTAGATTTCAAGAAGAGCAAGACCACTACGATGATGATGGTGGTGATGGTGGTGGTGGTGGTGGTTCGGAGAATCAAAACGAAGATGGAAGGATACGTGGTGGTTGTGGAGGATTATACAAACCTATACAACACTTCTCGAATGCTTGGACGATTTTCGGTAGACGTAATTTACAGCATACACGTGGTTCGTGTTGTACACCAGGACGACCACAAATTTCCTGTAGGTCGTCACCATGTCCACCAATTTCCTGCTTAAGATCTTCACCGACGTGTACGACGGTGAAATTTCAAAATCGTTGCAAGGATTGTCCTTGCAATTATTGCGGTGGTCCTATTTGTTCTGATGAAATCAATCGTTGTCATGGAATACAATTGAATCCTTGTCAGTGAGTAATATTAAATTTGAAAACAACATATTGTAATAAAAAATAGAAAATATAATTTACAGTACACTTTTTCTTTTTTAAAATATTTTTTAGTGTATAAAAATATAGTTTGAGTTTTTCTTATATTAGAATCAAGTGCCACACGTGCAAAGGTTTTCGGTATCGAATTTGTGGTGGATGCGGTGGTCAATCCTGCGGAAGGATATACAGTTGCTCCGGTAGCGGCGGTGGTACCTGCTGTTTCCCAAGAAATACCGGAAGACGGTCTGACTCGGAATGCTGCGGTAGTGGGAATTCGAACTGCGGAGGATGCTGCTAAGGATAGCACGAATCCTGAATCCTGTTTCTGAATTCCGTAGATTCTCTCTTAAAGCAAACAAGGAATAAATACCAATCCGACAAACGTTAACCCCTTTTTAACCCATTCTTTTTTTTATCTCTTTATCAACGTTAATATATTTATTTACATAAGATTTTGTCTTTTTTTTTTTTCTACATCCTGAATTTAGCTGCTTATTTTTGTCAATTATTTTCAATATATTCTAACCAATTTTCGAATTAGTTTGACATGATTGAAAAAATAATGAAATTAACACAACGTTTGCTATGTCTACCCTTTAAACCACAAAGGGTTTTAGGAATAACTAAAGTAACACGTTGGGATATCATAAGATCGAAATATCCCGATTTAGATGAAATGAGACTTAATGATAAATTTTTTACATTGAAATCGGAAATATCTTTGGATACTTTAAAAAAAGAACACAAAATGAAAACTGATTGTGAAAATCAATTGAACGAAATAACGAAGAAAATTGGATGTAACTTTAGAATGATCAAAAGGTATTTTTACGTGATTACTTAAAATTACTTAACAAACAAAACAAAAACCTTGAAATGATTAATCAATATTTCAATTAGCGTAGACAATGCTAACGAAGACGTTGAATGGGCTGATCTGGTGATTTCAATCGGTGGAGATGGTGCTTTTTTATTAGCATCAAGATTGATTAAAAATAATAAAAAAGCAATAATTGGTATTAATCCAAAAACCGTTATCAATGAACGTACATTTTCCAAAGATCATTGTACAAAGATTGAAAATATATTTCAAAAATTACAAGAAGGAAAATATCATTTATTGATGAGAAGTCGAATAAGAACCACAATGTATGGGAAAAATATTAATGACGAACCTTATCAATTAGATGAAAAAACTCGTTCGTTAAAAGATTTAATGAAAGTTAACTACGATGAACAGAATTGCGAGTAAGTAGAGAGAAGTAAAAGATCATTTTGTATACATGTTCGAATGAATTATAAGCAAACATTTTGATCAATATATAAGCTGTTTATTTTCAAAGTGGCCTAACTCCATTTATGTTCGAAGGATTTGTGTTTCAATGCAATGAAACAAATGGAATTAGGCCAGTTTCAAAATAAACATCTCATATGTAATATAAAAATAAGAAAACGAAAATGAAAGTAGTTCAAGCCAATTAAAGTTCGTAATTGTGGTTTAAAAGAAACAAAGGTGATTTCTTTATTTTCTTATTTTTTTTCATAGTTCATATCGCGGATAATGTTTCCTTCCTATATAATAGGAACTTTTATTCATCGTAGCAGGTCATTAAAGAAAAGAAGATCCATTTACTCTTTTGAAAGTTTCAAATAAGCAATAGGTATTCACCGATTACGTGTTTTTCATAAAAGCAGTTGGGTAATGCGTCTTCATTGCTCTCATTGCTCGACCACAAGGCAGTTTCAAGTTATAGTTTATATACATTATATAACTTTGGCAGTTATAACTTGCAAATTACAAGGTCTAACGTAGTTATGACTTTTACGAAGAGGTCATAACTTTGAAACTATGCGTTCGCGAGCCCGTACACTCCCGCGTAAATTTTACGGCTTGATGCAAGACAGGCAAAAGAAAGAATGAAAGCAAGAAAGAAAGAAAGAAAGAAAGATAGAGTTAACTACTGACAATTATTTATACTGTGGTAACTTTATTAAAGTACTATACACAATGGGGAATCTACAATTAAACCACACACACAAAGTGTCAACGTGAAAATTGATGAATATCAGCTTCTCGTCCTTTTGATTTTAATCCTCTTTCTCTCTCATTTGATTTTATTTTCTATTTTTTTTTTTTTTTTTTTTTAACAAATTCAACGAACAATTTGAAATTGCTCATTAAATTTCGATTACATATAAGAGAACGTATTTATCGAAATCACAGTAATATTGGTAATTAACGTGTAACCGTGCAACCTAACGTTAAATGTCGATTTGGCTTTTAATTCCCTTTCGATCAACGGGGAGAACAACGAAAGGGAGGCAAGGGGAGAAGGGTCAAAAACACAAAGCAAAAACCTTCCATCAAAAATAATTAATATTCATGCGGCACGAGAAGAGAGAGAGAGAGAGAGAGATGAGAGAGAGATGAAAAACGGTATCGGTGTACAGGCAGGCGGTGTCGAAGCTAAAATCAATTATCATTTTATCGTTTAACGTTCCACAAATTATCATTCTAATGTGTCTGAAATTTCTTTTTTTCTTTGTTGTTTTTTATTTTGCAGGAACGTCATAGAAAGTAACGAAAGAAATATCACAGATTTTCTTCAGAAATCTAATCGAAGGGTTTTACCGTGGTTGGCGTTAAACGAGGTTTAAAACAAAATCAACATTTTTTTATATTATTTGTTTATTCCATTCTTTCAATACTTTTTTTTTTTTTTTAAAGAATGATAATTGATAATAATGATAATAATTAAGAGAAAAAAAAATGTATTTTTATTTAATTTTGCTTTAAGGTTTTATTTTATTAGGTATACATGGGTGAATTTTTATCAACTGGTACACTAACATTGACCATTCAAGTTGACGATCAAGACGTTTATAAACTACAAAGTTCTGGAATGTGTGTATGCACTGGTTCAGGTTCTAGAAGTTGGTATCGTTCTATGAATCTTCAAGCACCTGAAACTGTTAAAAGATTGGTCAAAATTGCAATGGGAAAGGATATCGATGAGGATGAAGCTTTGAATGTAATTGAATCTTATCATCGTAGTCTTCCATTTGATCCAGGTATCAATTAGTTTATAAAATTAATAACTTTAATAAAAGAAAATCACAAAATCATATTTCAATAAATAAATTAATTTTATTATTTGCTTATTCACGTAGAAGATGACAGAATGTCTTACATGATTCGTGAATTGTATAGAGCAAGTAAATGGCCTAAACCAAAATCTTCCCCCGAAAGAAGAATGTGTCGAAAGGTCAAGGTCATGTCTCATGGTTTCGATGCTGGTTTAGTTATTGATGGAGGTGTTACTTTACCATTTAATGACGGTATTACTGCTGTATTCGAAATTCATTCTGAGGATGGTCTTAAAAATTTAATCATCCAATAAAACTTTGGTTTTCTATTCGTTAATATATAATATAATACAATTATATATTATTATTAATATATTATTAATAATATTATATAATAATATATTATATATTAGAAAAATAAAATAAATTGATGAAATTTGATTTTTATTTGTATACGTTTGTTTGTTTATATAAATGACTTTAAAGTATGTACATGTAAAATGTTTCCTTAATCGTCGTCGAGTTGTTAGTTAGTACAAGTGAAAAAAAGGTCTCAAGTGCAAAGGGTTAATTTGCCAAATAAATTAGAAGAAGAAAATCGTTCGTATTTAACGTAAGACACAAAACAGGGTGGTAAAAATTCCTTGAGAAAACTTAAAAGGGAAAGTCTAAGATAAAAATCTTGATTTAACCTGAGTAGAGAAAAAAACGTTGTCTTATATTTTTCTAGAGTAAAGTTGGTGTGAAGGGTTGAGAGTGAGGATTAAAGGGAACGAGATTCTCCTAGATTTCTTTTTATCCTTGTTCGCATAATGTAAGAGAGAATATGCCCACGTCCAGAGTTCCATTAACTATGTAATTTTAGTTTCGATCGTGCCGCCTACCATTCTCGATCTTCGTGCTCGATTTTACACTAAAGTTACTATATATATATATATATATATATATATATAACGTAATTCTACTACATATATATATGTATACATACTATGCGTATATTATCTGGATACACCACTTCTCTAGTTTCTCTCTCTCTCTCTCTCTCTCTCGATTATCTCCCTCGAGAGAATATCGTCAAATATTTTTGGTTGCAAACACAAAAAACGATTTAATTAATTACATCAATTTCAACAACAACAAATCATCATCAAAATAATTTTTATTATTATTTGTAAATTTTATGAGTCACTTATTTTTCATTATTTTATAGAAATATTATTGTTAATATAATTTTTATTCGATTACTTTACTGTATAATACGTAAATACTTTAAAACACACAAAAAAATATACTACAATTACACGAAGACAATTTACAACAATAATCAATAAGTAATCATCAAAATGATTTATTATTATTTTATATAAACCTTTTTGAGTCACTTATTTTTTATTATTTCATAAAAAAAATTCTAATATATAATTTTTATTTGATTGGTTAACCCTATAATACGTAAATACTTTTTAAAAAAAAAGGAAACTACGATTACAGGAAGGAAAATAAAAATAGTTAGAACGAAAAACAGTTACTTTTGTACAATATACCTAGATATATTGGTAGTCTGAGTGTATAGTGTTCGTACTACTTTGAAGGTAAAGTTGTGGATACTTGAGACGAAAAACGCCCTTCCTCCTCTCTCCCTTCAACAGCTAGCCGACATTTTCGGATAGAGCGCGTAAAACAACCGCAGTAAAAGAGAGTTTCTCGCTCGGTTTAGAAACGAGCTTCTGTTGTTTGAAAAGGGTGGAATGGGGTTAGTATAGGGATGAAGGGAGAGAAAGGGAAAAAGAATCGAAGGTAATTTAAACGTTCTCATATCGAAAACGTTCAATTTTATCGAGATCGAAACGTCTACCAATCTCAAGTTTCTTTTGGTATACCTTTGTACGTACAGAAATATAAAGAAAAATCTTACAATCAGAACTTTTTAACATTTTTCTATTCCTAGAAAAAACTATTATTCTTTTATATATATATATATAAAATAGTTTTATGTATTTCATATGTGTAAATGTAAAGAATGATAGGAACTTTTGGCAAGTTCGTCAACGAAAAATTGAAATCATCTTCATTTGAACTCAATAGTTCTATATATAGTACTCTTATTGGGTTCTATAATTTTAATATATAATATATTTATATATTATTATTAAATTAACTATTTTTATTTTATTAATATATTATATTAATAATTTTAATATATATATATAAACCTAAACAAACATAGTTATCCTGTTAAACCACTGAGTAATCATCGAGTATAACTTCTCGAAGGATTAATAATTTTATTTTATTTTTTTTTTTTTTTATATAAAATATCAAAAAATATAATACTAGATTAAAAAAAATTAGAGGAAAAAGATTTTGCAATTTTATAATAATAATAATAATAATAATAATAATAGACACAGTAGATTAAAAGAGATGACAATTTTTGACATCTGACATCAGCAGAAGATTCAAGATGGGCTTTTCCAATCGGATTTATGAAAGAGCTCTCATTAATCCTTCCAGAAGACTCAATCTTTAAGAACAATAGTGATTCGTCCCTTCCTACTATCACAAGGCAGCCATAGTAGTCCAGAGAACAAATAAACGTGCGGCCGAGCAGTAACAACGGATGACGTTCAGGCAACTTTCTCTTTTGTGTCTCGTAATTGAACGTTGGTCTTCTTCTTCTTCTTCTTCTTCTTCTTCTTCTTCATCATCCCTCTTGGTTAGTTCAGAACTTTTTAATGTTAAACATCTAAAGATAAGTTATTTTCAATAACATGAATTTTTGGGTCCGTGAATAATACTTATACAATTATAATATCATACATTCTTATAATAATGATTATTATTTTTTTGTCAGCATTGAAGATGATGAAAAAAGAAGTTTGTTAGTTTTTTTTTTTTTTTTCGTAGCAACTTTCGATTTTGTGAAGAACTTAAGAAAAGAATCAATTTAGGCAACTCATGTTTTCATTCGGTTAACAAATTACTCAACTCGCGATTGCTGTCTAGGCAATTACAAAAATCAGGATATACAGGACAATCATCCTACCAGTAGTCCTTTATGGTAGTGAATCGTGGTCGCTTACGTTATGGGACGTAAAGAAATTGAGGATTTTCGAAAACAAAGTTTTTTGTAAAATCTTCGGTGCAAAACGTGATGAGGAAACGAACGAATGGAGAAAACACCATAACGTTGAAGTACATTGATTGTACAACAAACCGGACATTATCAACGTCGTAAAATCACGCTGATTAAGATGGGCTGGTCACCTGGCGTGGTGCATGGGGGAGGATCGAACGACGCACAAAATATTGGTCAGTATACCAAATGGGAATAGACCACTAGGTAGATCGAGACATAGATGGGAGGATAATATTAGAAGAGACCTGAAAGAAATAGGATACGAAGACCACGAATGGAAGGATCGCGCTCAGGGACAGGAACAATGGCGGGATTTGGTATTTGCGACAATGAACTTTCGAGTTCCTAATACCAGTTAAAAATAATAATAATAATAATAACTTTCGATTTTTTTTTAAATTTATTACAAAACCAAATTTTTCTATTACACTCGTTTGCACGCAAAAGATATAACTTTATATTATTTTAGTAAATTTAAATTCTTATTATTATTACTTTTTTAACATCGAAGAAGATGAAAATAATTTTCTTATTATTTTCTTTTTTTTTTTTTGGTCACAGAAGGAAGATTTTTTTTCGATTTTCTAAAAGATTTATTAGAATCAAATTTTCCTGTTACACTAGTTTTGCACGAGAAAGATATAAATTTATTATAACCACATTCCATACCCTTCTTACACCATCCTGAACCACCCCCTCCCCTGTGGAATGGCCGCATCGTTATTCGAAGATTTAGTTTCTTGCCGCGACCACTGTAATTGCGGCCTTAGAAGATTTATTTTGCGGATTCGTGGTGAAACGTTAATTCGCCGAGAAGAATCGGGTTGATAGAGGAGCACCCAACCGAGAGAGGGAAGAATCAAGAGGAAGAAAGAAAGTGAGCTTGAAGTACGAGGTACGAAGAGAAGTAAAATAGGAAATGGAAAAGAGGAAATGGGACAAACCCGGTTTGTGCTTCGTTGAAAACAAAGAACACCGGATAAATGGTTAAGGGGAACAAGTGGTAGAAGAAGAAGAAGAAGAAGAAGAAGAAGAAGAAGAAACCATAAAAAGGTCGAGCACGCGAGAGGTTTCCCTAATATCATTTTTTTGTTCTGCTTTTATTTTTCGGAAGTACGAAAATTCTTCTTCTTCTTTTTCTTTTTCTCTTTTTCTCTTTCAACACAACCGACGATCTTTTAATTCATCCGCTTTAGTTAAAACGTAATTTCATTCGTTTCACCTTTGTATGAAAGGCAGCGTGTTCTTCTTTGTACATCGTGCGTTTACGTTTCGCATTAAAATTATATACGAACTATACTTACATTAAAACAACTGAAAAGTGAAACGAAACGTAATGAAACAAAATGAAACGAAACGAAACGAAACGAAAAACTTTCGTTGCTTGACGAAAGAACAAATTTAATATTTTCTTTCTCTTTTGAATACGAACGACACTTTTCTTTTCATCTCATTTTAATCAACGCACAAAATTCTCATTTTCTCTTTTTCATTTATTTTTTTTTTTTTTATAATAATTTTTAAATCATGACTTATGTTAATTAAAAAATCACGTACAAATTGTTACATTTAAATATCAGAAAAGTTAAATAAATTATTCGTTATTCAAAAAATAGAATAAATAAATATCATGTGTTAGGAAATTTTGGATACCGAATGGAAGAATATTTGTTTCCGTTTTTCCTATTTCTCAACTTTTATTTCTACGGTGCCGATGAAAAACGACTAGGTTGTATACTTTATTGCTTACCGGAGAAAAATAAAACGTTCTAACGTATGATTTCTATGGGCATCATAATTACGCGATAACTTATCGAAATGTTTGCTCATGGTTTTTACAGGTAGATCCCCTACGTGGAAGATTTACCCTTCCTCCTTAACCCCCCAAAAAAAGAAAAGAAAACGAAATAGAATGGAAAGGTACGTTTTTTCTCGTTTTAGACTTGTTCAATGAATTTTTAGGGAAAATCGTTGAAACAGAACCAAACAAACAAACAAAAAAACCAAAGTAAAATGAAATAGAACACACATTCAAATACAAACTGCATGTACTTTTAATCTCATTTTATTTTCCTGTATTTTTTTCTTTTTTTTTTATTTCTTTCTTTCATCTTATCTAAAGTATACTTTAACGTTCAACAAACATATAAAATAGAGAAAGAAGATAGAAATAGT